TACAACCAGCGCTCAGTGGAAGACGCCCTCGTCAGCCTCAAAATGGGGTAGCTTTCTGTTTCTTCATCCTCAAGGTTTCTCTGTCCAATGACATTCCTAACCAGATCTGATTAGGACAAGATTGCTAATCCTTTTGAAGTAGCACCAACATTGATTTCTAGGACTTAGTCCTATCAAGTTGTAGTAATTACTTTGTTTCGGCGAGGAAAATTTACATAGGCACTCCAATTTGAGCGGGCTGTATCTACAATTACTTTCAAATAGTAGGCACACTTGCAAGAGGCAGCCTATGGTAGCCTCCTCATGTGCTAAGAAAGTCCTTGATGCCCAAACGTTCTCTATGTATCTAGTGTTTGTGGCATTAAATGCAATGGAACTTCTACCAGTCTTCAGCCCACAGATTGTATTTTTGCATGCTATCATATGACAACCTTGCTCCCTTCCCCATCTGAAAATATGCACCTATAAAGAGGCAGTTGGATGTCTCCAGTAGAAGAGCATATATATAGCTTAAGATTGTACTGTCAAGTCCTTGGTGCTCTCTGAGCTTGGTTGTTTGCTTGCAGACATTTCATTACTTGCTAGGAAACATAACCAGTGCTAGTGAGTGTGGGGTTTGCTCCCTATTTATATACAAGAGCTTGCCTATCAGTATTGGTGAGGATGTGCTGTTCTCCTTGGTAGTTCCTTGATTAGGGTTTTGGTAGTGCCCTGATTAAATAATAATTTACGAAGCAAGAATTAATTTACAATTAAGTCTGGTGGGAAGCCCGACAGATAGCATATTTGATGAAAATGCTAATGGGATGAAAGATGTCTTGATCAGGTTCATGTATTCACCTGGCCTCTGGGTCACTCTTTCTAGGTGAAGAATGACCCTGTAGTTCTATAGTCCAGCTGATGTGGCAGAAAGTGCGCCCTTGATACAGGCATTCTCTGATAAGTTCAAATGCAGCAGTACCTGATCTACAGCAGGATTGTGCATGCTTTGAAAATGATTTGGAACAAGGGCTTCGGACCTCACCTGAAGACAGGTGTTCGTTAACGCTCTCTGACTTTTCCCCTGGCTTTCAAGCGAGCCAGAAGGAGCATTGAGGTTGCCTTGAAATGTTGACTTGTCTGAGAAGCCTGAAAACAGATTAGACTCCCTTAAATAACAGAGACACGCTAATACTGGTCAAAAGTACAAAGCACTTCTTCAGAGTCATTTTAAAAAACGGGCACATTCCTATTGTCTAATACAGCCTTTCCCAACTTGGATGGAGTCCCTAGTTTCCTTCCTGTTGTGTTTCATAGCAATTGTTCCCTAATCTGCTTTCTCTGTGTGCTTGATTCCAGAAAGCTGGATGCTTTTATCTATGATGCTGCAGTGCTCAATTACATGGCTGGCAAGGATGAGGGTTGCAAGCTGGTAACCATTGGCAGTGGGAAAGTCTTTGCCACCACTGGCTATGGCATTGCCCTCCAGAAGGACTCAAAGTGGAAGAGAACAATTGATTTAGCTCTCCTGCAATTCCTGGGAGATGGTGGGTCGTTTTCTCTCTTAGTTACACATTGCTAGCTAATATTTAGGAGAAAATTATTGCTGCATCCTACTTGTTTTCTTCCAGGGTCACAATGATTTGCCAAGTTCAGAGTAGAGCTTTCTCTTTATTATAATATAGAAGGGTAAAACAAAAACACAACAAAAGATCAAACATAAGAACCAAAGGAAAAAGAAAACAAGATATTATATTACATATACTGTAGGGAGCATGCAGTCCATTTTTGAAACCTTGATCCCATGGAATAATACTGATGATTTTCCCCCCATTACACTAGCCCAGTGATGGCGAACCTTTTAGAGACCGAGTGCCCAAACTGCAACCCAAAACCCACTTATGCATCTTCGGGTGCCGGATGGGTGTGGCCCATTGGCTGGGTGTGGCCCATTGGCTGGGCGTGGCCCATTGGCTGGGCATGGCTGCGGTGGTAACGGCAGACTGGGTGGGATTAAAAAGTTCAATCAATCAATTCCAACTTTGAAGATCTTTTTTTTCCCCCGCAAGAAGTTGAAATTGACTGATCGATTGAACCTTTTTTGGGGGGCACACAGCGGCAGAGGCCTAAAGTGAAAAGGTTTTATAAAACCCAGCTGAAGGGCTAGGACTGGGGGACAGCACGCGTGCCCACAGAGAGGGCTCTGAGTGCCGCCTCTGGCACCCGTGCCATAGGTTCGCCATCACTGCACTAGCCTGTATCACAGGTCCAAGACTATAACCTTGAAACTGCAAGGTGCCAAAATCTAAGAATAAATTTTTTTGTTACAACTCAAGCTTGGTAAATCCATCGGTCTTCATATATGATAAGTTCCATTTTTTTTGGTCTATAATGGAAAAATACCTGCAGAGCTTTATTATTTATCTTTGTGGCATATAAAAGTATGGATATTGAATAAAAATGGAAGCTAGTGAGACATGCCTGTAAGAGGATATGAGTAAGTGTCCTCTCAGTCCTTCCATGCCATGAATTTTCATTTTCACACTTGCATTTCCCAACTCCTTTGACAGAAACAAAGCAGGATAAAGCAGCATCTGCAGCATAGGAAGAGGGCAAATACTTTCCCCAGAAGACAAATGGCTGCTCCCCGCTCTTTCGGCGGTCATTTGCAAATGTTCTGTTCAGATACAAATTAAAATTGAATTATAAGATGGAAATAAAAGTAGCTCCAAAACTTCAGCAAAGTGAACTTCATTAAAATGGAAAGGATTTACTTCAGCTATTTTTTTCTATTACAGTAACACAATGGTTATGAAAGGCATCATTAGTTCTTATTTGCAAACCTAATATATGGGCTAAATGTTGTCCTAGACACCAACATGCATTTTGCCCGTTCTGTATTTTCCTCAAAATTCTGCTCCTGAATGTTGATGATGAATTCCTTAGTCACTGGAGAAAATGTTGAAAAGTTTTTGGAAAACTGTTCTTCTCGGTGAAGTTTTATATTAGATCAAGCCAAACTCCTGACAGTTCCCTGAAAAGTCCTTTTTCTTTCTTCACTTCAGTAGGAGTTAAATCTTCCATTACTTCAGCAGCTTTAATAAGTGGCTGATATACTATAAGTAAGCAGGCAAGCATGTGCTTATGCATTAGAACTGGGAAAGTTTAGGGGAAGTCTTTTATTTACCAGATGTAGAAGGAGACTAAAAGAAGAAGAAAGTAAAATAAATATGCCACCTACAGGAACTGCAACACGTTAAGAAACAGTCTTGAGATCCACACAGACAGAATGTGTCTTTCTCCAAAGAGCATTTGCACATATGAATATGTAGTCCTCGACTTATAAATTTAGGGACCCTTTGAAGACCATTGAAGCACAGACTTATGACCATTTTTTCACACTTACAACTGTTGCAGCAATCCCATAGTCGCGTGATCAAAATTTGGATGCTTGGCACCTGGCTCGTATTTATGACAGCTGCAGTGCCCCGAGTCATGTGATCACCTTTTGCGACCTTCTGACAAGCAAAGCCAAGGGGAAAACCCAAGTTCCCTTAACAACCGTGTGCCTGACTTAACACCTGTGGCAAGAAAGGTTGTAAAACTGGGGCAAAATTCATTTAGCGACTGCCTCACTTAGCAACAGAAATGTTGGGCTCATTTTGTGGTCGTAAGTCGAGGACTATTTCTATGGAGCCAGAAGGCATCTTGATCATAACTCCTTGGAATCCGAATGGAAGTCCTATTGCAATTCCTGTTTCTAGGGTTCTCACTTGCCTGCTGTGCAAACACAGTGCTGAACTAGGCCTGCCTTTAGATCTAACCTCACGTTGGTAGGCATTGAATAGTCAGAGCTCATGAACAGGTATTTCTTTATTCAAGTAAAACAGAACAACAACAAAATGGCTCTGCCCCTTTTTATACATTCTCCCTGGGTTGTCACCAGCCAATCGTTGCAACGGCTTTTCCCGCTCAAACTGCATGCTAATCATTTCTTGCAGACAGCAAGTCTGACCGGGCAGACCACGTGGTCTGCTGACTGTTCTGGTGCAGCTCCCTGCACCTGCTCTTAATTAAGCCCAGTACATAACACCAGGGTTCTCTGACCTGGCAAGCATGAGCACTGGGCATATCCTAATTATCAGCAGTGGCCTATATTCAATAAAAAAAATATCACTGGCTCCTGCTTGCTTGGATGCGGTTTCTGTGAAAGAGACACCAAACTAATGTAAAGGGAAAGATAGATTTAACAAACATACAATGCATGCGCACAGGTGACTCTTATATATTCAGTTATGTACTTCAGCATTTGCAGGTTTTAGAGACCTCTCTGGTGGAAACTACAGCTTTGTTAGCAGATTGAAGGATTCAATACGGAATGTGCTCCAGAAAAAGTCTGCCTTGGAAACTTATAGAGATTCCTTTTAGCTCATTCTAATAGTCTGTCAACTACATTTGGGACACAGAGCTTCATGGGTTTTGCTTTTAATCTTCTGATTTGGATGAGAAGCTGGCAGTCAGGATAATGAGCTGGTCACTACCCACTCATGCTGTTCCACTGATCTAAATGGCTGCACCCGCCAGGTGCTTGGTGGTTATGAACTGCATGGGAGCGAGAGAAGATGATAGCTACGCTCTTGTTCCATTGATCACTTGCACCGCCTGGAAGTTAAAACACGAAATCATCATTGTGTTTTGCCTACATCATTAGTTCAGCCACATAAATGCAGAAGTAGCAAAAACAAAAACAAGCAAACATGAGGCACTGTAGGAGAAGAAACTACTACCACTTTTTTTTTCACCTCAGATCTGGCTATGCTAAAACGGTCCCTTTGCGCAGACATTTAAAAGCTAATAGCAAAAAACCTTTTCAAAAGAAGACTATACTTTTTTTCCCCTTCTCTTTTCTGTGAAATTCATCCAAACATCTTTCCCCCCCCCCCCAGAAATGTGAACAGTTGTTTCCACGAAAGGGGTGATGTTTGATATCAGATGGTCTCTTTAGCTAGAAGTATACCCTCTTCTACCCTTTGTCTGTTGTGTGCTGTTTTGCAGGTGAAACCCAAAAACTGGAGACTGTGTGGTTGTCTGGCATCTGCCAAAATGAAAAGAATGAAGTAATGAGCAGTAAGCNACCTGTGGCAAGAAAGGTTGTAAAACTGGGGCAAAATTCATTTAGCGACTGCCTCACTTAGCAACAGAAATGTTGGGCTCATTTTGTGGTCGTAAGTCGAGGACTATTTCTATGGAGCCAGAAGGCATCTTGATCATAACTCCTTGGAATCCGAATGGAAGTCCTATTGCAATTCCTGTTTCTAGGGTTCTCACTTGCCCGCTGTGCAAACACAGTGCTGAACTAGGCCTGCCTTTAGATCTAACCTCACGGGTGTTCTGTTCCTCACGTTGGTAGGCATTGAATAGTCAGAGCTCATGAACAGGTATTTCTTTTTTCAAGTAAAACAGAACAACAACAAAATGGCTCTGCCCCTTTTTATACATTCTCCCTGGGTCGTCACCAGCCAATCGTTGCAACGGCTTTTCCCGCTCAAACTGCATGCTAGTCATTGCTTGCAGACAGCAAGTCTGACCGGGCAGACCACATGGTCTGCTGACTGTTCTGGTGCAGCTCCCTGCACCTGCTCTTAATTAAGCCCAGTACATAACACCAGGGTTCTCTGACCTGGCAAGCATGAGCACTGGGCATATCCTAATTATCAGCAGTGGCCTATATTCAATAAAAAAAAAAAATCACTGGCTCCTGCTTGCTTGGATGCGGTTTCTGTGAAAGAGACACCAAACTAATGTAAAGGGAAAGATAGATTTTAACAAACATACAATGCATGCGCACAGGTGACTCTTATATATTCAGTTATGTACTTCAGCATTTGCAGGTTTTAGAGACCTCTCTGGTGGAAACTACAGCTTTGTTAGCAGATTGAAGGATTCAATACGGAATGTGTTCCAGAAAAAGTCTGCCTTGGAAACTTATAGAGATTCCTTTTAGCTCATTCTAATAGTCTGTCAACTACATTTGGGACACAGAGCTTCATGGGTTTTGCTTTTAATCTTCTGATTTGGATGAGAAGCTGGCAGTCAGGATAATGAGCTGGTCACTACCCACTCATGCTGTTCCACTGATCTAAATGGCTGCACCCGCCAGGTGCTTGGTGGTTGTGAACTGCATGGGAGCGAGAGAAGATGATAGCTACGCTCTTGTTCCATTGATCACTTGCACCGCCTGGAAGTTAAAACACGAAATCATCATTGTGTTTTGCCTACATCATTAGTCCAGCCACATAAATGCAGAAGTAGCAAAAACAAAAACAAGCAAACATGAGGCACTGTAGGAGAAGAAACTACTACCACTTTTTTTTCACCTCAGATCTGGCTATGCTAAAACGGTCCTTTTGCGCAGACATTTAAAAACTAATAGCAAAAAACCTTTTCAAAACAAGACTATACTTTTTTTCCCCTTCTCTTTTCTGTGAAATTCATCCAAACATCTTTCCCCCCCCCCAGAAATGTGAACAGTTGTTTCCACGAAAGGGGTGATGTTTGATATCAGATGGTCTCTTTAGCTAGAAGTATACCCTCTTCTACCCTTTGTCTGTTGTGTGCTGTTTTGCAGGTGAAACCCAAAAACTGGAGACTGTGTGGTTGTCTGGCATCTGCCAAAATGAAAAGAATGAAGTAATGAGCAGTAAGCTGGACATTGATAACATGGCGGGGGTCTTTTACATGCTGCTGGTGGCAATGGGGCTGAGCCTGCTTGTCTTTGCTTGGGAACACCTGGTGTTTTGGAAGTTGCGGCATTCCGTGCCCAAGTCCCACAGACTTGATTTCCTTCTAGCTATAAGCAGGGTAAGTAATGTTCCTGCACGGGCAGTTTATTTATTTAATCATTTGTTTTTATTGCATTTGTGTGCTGCCCAAATGCCATCCCTTCTGAGGGCTCACAAGTAACAGCATTAATAATAATAATAATAATAATAATAATAATAATAATAATAATAATAATAATAATAATAATGGTTTTTATTAATGAATTAATCGTGCAAATGAAGGCCAACACCAACTAAAGAACTGGCAGTTGTGATGTCACATTTTTGAGTACAGATAGTCTTCGACCTACGACCACAGTCGAGCCCAAAATTTATGTTGCTAAGCGAGACAGTTGTTAAGTGAGTTTTGCCCCATGTTTTGCCCCTTTCTTGCCACAGTTGTTAAGTGAATCTGGCTTCTTCATTGGCTTTGCTTGTCAGAAGGTCGCCTAAGGGGATCACGTGATCCCAGGACGCTGCAAATGTCATAAATACATTCTAATTGCCAAGCATCCGAATTTTGATCATGTGATCATACGGATGCTGCAACAGTCGTAAGCGTGAAACACGGTCATAAATCACTTTTTGCCACTGTAACTTTGAACCGTCACGAAATGAGTGGTTGCAAGTTGAGGACTACCTGTATATAAAAATAAAGATTGGCAAAGATAACAAGAACCGGAGAGGGATGGAAAAACAAACAAATCCAGACTATTCAAGGAAGCTTCATTCAACCTTGCCAAAGGCCTGGAAAAAGCAACTGATCTTAAAGCACGAATAGAATGGGGACTGTCCAGGTCTTAGGTGTGGATGAAAGTGCTGGCCTGGAAACCAGAGAGTTCTGGTCTTCTGTTAGGCATGAAAGCCAGCTCAGTAACTTTGAGCCATTTACTCTCTCTCACTCTGACCCTTCTCCCAGAGGGGTTGTTGTAGGAAAATTGAGGGCGGGAACATTATGCAAACGGCCTTGAGTTGCACAAATAAAAGTGGGATACAAATCTGATGATCATACTAATCATAATCAAAATTCTTCTTCCATTCCCCAGGAAATATACTCTGCCATTTTTAGGGCTACTCTTTTGTATAAATGTTGATTAACAGGGACAATTTAAAATGTTCATTCATACATTAGATTTGTGTTCCGCCCACTGTTCAGTTTCTCCAACCGCAACAACTATTCTGAGGCTGAGTTCCACCTACTGCACTAAGCGGCAATGTACAGTATGGACTCAGCTGCTGTGATTTATAAAACATGGCTTATAGTTCAAGACTTTGAGTGGACTCCACCAACTGTGGTTCATCTGGTAGACCACCATTAAAACATGGCTTAGCATGAGGTGTAAAATCACCCTGAGAGATAGATTAAGCTGGATGAGAGCAATTCCTCCAGGGCACCCGTTCCCAGTTCCATAGCCTCATCACTTCACTGCATGCTATTTTCTTGATTTTGGGTGTAAAGGTAAAGTTCTATGCTAAATTTGACTCTACATATTAACTATCTATATTTTTAGGGGCGGGGTTCTTTTTCTTCTTTTCAACATTTATAATAATATAGTAATGGTTTTGCATTAGGTCCCAAAATGTATACTTATATAAATTATAATTTTGCATCATGAAAACAATTCAGTGTAATCTGCTTGCTATTTTTTTTAACTAAGGTCATACTGAGCATTGATGTATAACTTCAGTAATTAGCTACCCATTTGTAGATGCTATCTTTTTTGAAAATATATTTTTTAAAATGAAAATAAAATAAGTATGTGGATAAAAAAACAATTTAAAAATTGGCTCTACACACCAGGACATCTAGCAAAACATTAGCGGCATCATCAATGTGTTCAAATGCTCTAGGCTGTGAGTTGCCAAGACATTCCCGCAAAAAGCAATTTTGTGACTCTTGCCAATGGGAGCTTGTAAAGCTTGCCAATGGGAGCACATACAGTATGACACTCTGTTTTTCTCTTTAAAGGGAAATTAATTTTTACTTCCCATATTTTGATTAAAACATTCTCAAATCATTGTGTGCAAGAGATAGGAGATTTGTTTTTTTCTAGATGCATAATTTCCTCTGTTCTTCTGATTTTTGGGCCTCCAGAGAGATCCACAACAAAGAAGGTGATGTTGAATGCACTAAGGGCTTAAAGTACAATTGATGGGATACATTTTCAATAGTCTGTCTGGATTGGAAATTGTGATTAAAGCACCTCCCCCCCCCCAAAAGATCCTTTGGAGCAGAACTGGCTGGGAATTCTGGGATAAATTTGTGGCAAGATGGGTGGCAAATAAATTTAATACAGTAAATAATAATTTAATGTTAAATAATAATACATTTGTTTTTCTCTCAGTTCCTTTGTCAAGTTTGCAGGTTTAGGTCTGTCTAGTCAAAGGGCTGCTATAAATCAATTAAACCCAGCTTCAGCTAACTGATGCATAAGAGGCAAGCTTATTTTGTTACTCAATCATTTGTTCCCCCCACATAAGGCCTCCTGCTCTCTGTAGGTCAGACATGTCAAACTCGCGACGTCATGTGACGTTGCGCAACGTATCGGAGCTTTTTTGCCATTGCCGGCAATGGGGTGGGCGCGGCTCTGGTATGATGAAACCGGCCTGCGGGCCAGCAGTTTGACACCCCTGCTGTAGGTGTTTTAAATCTTATTAACCTTGTGACAGCTTAACTGCTTAGTAAGAGTTCTCAAGAAATTGTGTGAGTAACAGTAGTCTGATTCCAAACAACTCAGTCATTCTAGTACAGGGGTCTTCAAACTTGGCACGCTGGCTGAGGAATTCTGGGAGTTGAAGTCCATGGCACGCTGGCTGAGGAGTTGAAGTCCTTGGCACGCTGGCTGAGGAATTCTGGGAGTTGAAGTCCATGGCACGCTGGCTGAGGAGTTGAAGTCCTTGGCACGCTGGCTGAGGAATTCTGGGAGTTGAAGTCCATGGGTCATAAAAGGGCCGAGTTTGAAGACCCCTGTTCTAGTAGGTAGGAAGATATTTTGGCTGTCTTCACTCACAACAACATTCGTTGAGGTGAAGAGCTGCAAATTATCTGTGAGTGTTTTATGCAATACAGTGCTTATACAAACTAAAATGATTGCTAGTTCAGATGATGTAATAAAATCTGGAAGTTGACTATGAGAATTACTCCTGTGCATATAAGACTCAAGGATGTTCACTGTTTACAACTGTCATATTTTTAAGTACAACTTTTTCCATCCAATATCTCAACTCTGGTTATTCTGGTTTTCAAACTTGCACCAAGCAGAGCAGTAGGGGGTTCTGGTGTTTGGGCAAGTCCCAAAATATTTATTCTAAAGTGCTTTTGGAGAGTTTTCAGTCTTACTAATAATTCCCTCCTAACGAACATCCCTAGTATAGATTCATGAGGTGGGATCTGCTGTCAGAATTTCTAAAAACAAATTCAGAAAGATGCCATTAATATTAACTTGTGTGAAATGTATTTGAAAATAAAGCAATGAGAAAACAGTTTCCACAATTACTAAGAAAGAAAACAATCATGTTTATTGAATTTATTTGCTTGTTGAGTTCTATTACATTTATATTGCGTGTGCATTTTCAAGTCCTTTTGTCTTTTGCATTATAAACACCTTAGCTAAGCAATAAAAACACAATAAAAATACTTACGTTTCCACTCACGCGTGAATAGAAGCCAGACAGAAAATAACGATTTATAGAATTTGAGTGAGTTTTTGCCTATTAAAACATACATTTCCTGTTGTTGTTAAATGCTTTAATGCCTAAATTAAACTCATGTATCTGAGAAGCATTTTCTGAATTCTAGTTACATGAACTTTCTTAACCAGCCACTAGATTCATTGCATCTCATAACAATCATTATTAGGGTCCTCAAGGAATATTTTGCAAAATTTAATTAAGCAGCAAACACTTTAAAATACAGAATGAAGACAGTTATGAAGCTAACAACTAGAACACAAGATTCCATACTGAGACATAAAAGGAAGATGGCTTCATTATACTACAACATCTGCCTGAATGAGCAGCTCATTGTAGAAGAGAGAACGGTTCTTCCCAATCACTATTTAGTGAGCTCTTGGATCTTCATTGTGGAATCAAGATCTTCCACATAAGACCAACAATTGCAAAGAAATTAAAAAAAAAAGTTCTGTTCAATCTCCCCTAACTAATTTTAGTAGAAAATGCTTTCTCTGTATTCTTATTTCAATGATGAAGAATCTGGTTTATATGGTTTTAGCATTTAGTTTTGCTCAGATAAAGGAAATTATTCAATATTTATGAGTCCCGTCTGTGGGGGAAAAAAAGTCTAGCTTAATATCATCATCGATCATTCCTTCCCAAGATAGTTTGTCATTCTTTTCTTGTTTCATCTTGTATTCCCAGGGTATTTACAGCTGTTTTAATGGAGTCCAGAACCTGGAAAGCCCTGTTCGTGTTTACAAACCAGATGTCACTGCTAACTCTGCTCAAGCCAATGTGCTTAAGATGCTGCAGGCAGCCAAGAATATGGTATCAACAGCCAGTGTTGAGAACTCACTGGAAAATGCTACACGCACTATAGAGAATTGGTCTAGTAGGAGTGAAAACTTCCAAACAACTTTCTCCTTAAGGACTCCCCAATTTGTGGTTCAGAACACTAGTGGGTCAAACAGGCCAGCTCAGTCCTCCAACACTACAACAACAACTGAGAAGCTTGGGAGAAACTTTCCACCCTTGCTTCTGGCACCTCAGCAAACTGTGGGACCAGCCAGTGAAAGCTGCGGAGAGACAATTGAGCACCCGCAGATTCTTCATCCACTGAAATTACGGGGCAACTGCTCTGAAGATAAGATTATTCCAGCTCTTGCTGCGTACCACTCTCCACAGTATGTGGTAACCACTTCTCAGGCGAACCTCAGAAAACACATTGGAAGCTCCCTTAGTGATGCTCCTCATTCCCCAATCAGGACTCTTCAGGAACTTTCTCCACATAACCATAAGTATAAGCTCCCCATGTCCAGAGGCCATGGGAAACAAAAATTCCACCAGAATGATCACCTGTATAAAGAAGGCGAACAAAGCAGTGCAACCCAGGAGTCAAGGCTAGCTTTCCCTTCTGAGAAGAAAAAGAATCTGGAAACTCACTACTGGCCTCATCCCTGTATATATAATTCCTTCCCAAAGGACAACAGAACTTGTAGACCCTTTGCACTTAAAGAATACGACCCACTAGAGCTGAGGAGAGAAAAGGAGACCTATACAGCTAGTCTTTCAAGATCAACCTTGGAACAGCATGAACAGTTCCATTCTCTAGGCCTCTGGAAGCGTCCACCAAAGTGTTCCAGTTCCAGGGATATCCTGGACTTCTTCCCCAAAGCTAGCCTGACCCCCAAAGCAAAAGTGCTGCCTGGGATCCATCATGGAGTCCACCACCATTCTCCTGATGCCCTTAGGCCAAGCAATGCATGCAATAGGAAATGTAGGCAGGCCAATGGTTTAAGTTGGAAGGAGAAACAGCTGCTACATTCACAATCCACGAGGCTCCCAGTCTATCGAGAGGCCTGTCTACAGAACGTCTCAGGCGTACACAGGGCTTCTTCAGCTGTAGTGCAGAAGCAATACGCGTATGTGAACTCATATCCAAATCTACCTGTTTATTGGAGAAGCTTTCATCCAGGCCCTTCTCACCTATGTGAACAATCCAGTGCCTCCCAGCACTGTTTCAGTCAGGCATCCTGGCCCCCATGCAGCAGGGATTTCTTGGTCCATGCGGATGGTCAGAGGGCCATGTACTTTAATAGCACACAGAGAGACTGCAGAAATCAGAGCAGGGTTTATCCAACATTTATTCAGATGGCCAGCACCGAGAGGAGAAATACGCTGACAACCCCAAGGATGCACAGCCCTTGTGCAACAAGATCATGGAGGCGCATATCTAGCCTAGAATCTGAAGTCTGATCATGGGAAAAGGTGGGCGGTGGGTGGGATGGGGGTGGGGAGAGGATGATGCTAAGAGTGCCTGCACTTGATGCATAACTTATCATTCCCATACACAAGAAGCCACTTCTGTGGGGCACTCTAGAAATAGACTCGTATGGGCAACTGACAAACCATCTAAACTGTCGATCTCCTTCTCCCTTATATACCGGTATCAAGAAAAAGTCACGGTCTCTTCCGTACGCACAAGAGCAAGTGACCTTTCTCTTTTATCTCCTGCTGGAATTAAGATCAAAGCAACACTAAAACGCCCAGCTGAAGGCACTTTAATGACTGCATCCCAAAGTCTTCCATTGCTGAGCACTGGAGCACTCATTTCATGCAAGAGGCTGATTCACAGCATGCAGCCTCTGTGTGGATTGCTTCAGACTGCATCGATTCCAGTGTCAAACATCTACATCACAGTGCCAGCTATTTTTCAGAGCATGCTGTCCACGACACAGCTGGAAATGGCCAACAGCAGCCTAATAAAAATTAGGACTATCTTGTTTACCCCTATGCACTGATAGAAATGGAACTATATAAATGATTAACGGGCAAATACTATATTTTTAGTGTTTTACATGACCCTCTGATTCTCCATAAAGAGTCTCAAATGCCACATCTTAAAATGTATTAACTTCCCCTTTCTTTTTTTCCATATAGCTTTTGGTTGCATTGGCAAATGTTGTCTTTTACGCTATCCCTAAAACAGTAAAAAGGCTTTCTTGCCTTTTTTTTAAGAAGTACCGCATCGTATAAAAGATATTTAAAACTATAGCTGCTAGGCTGGGCCACATCAAATTTGAACTGCTGAGCAAATACAGGTGACAGAAAAGCATTAGTGAGAATATTATTCTCTCAGTATGCAGATTAACATTCTGGATTCATTCATGCGTCTTTCTTAGTCCCAGAGCATGACTAAAAATTCAAATTCAGGCAGAAATATTAGAAGAAGCAGCTGCGTAGCTTCCCAGCTTCAGAAGAGGTATTCGTAGCAGCCTAGTGAAGGCTCCAGTGTTAAGGGATCACCAGAGAGGCATTCAGTGGCCCTGTTGACTGTTTTTAAAAACTATTTATGTTAACAGCAAATGCAGACTGGCTTATTGGTTTGCAAATAAAAGATCACTAACATACAAGGTTTTTTTTTAATACATTTGGAGAATTTCAGAAGCAAGTTGAAGCTTATAGCTGCAAATTAAAAGACAAAGTTTTGGAAATTTTGTTTTTTAAAAAACAAACTAACTAAAGGAGCCAACAAGAACTCCAGAATTAATGGGATACTGATGACAGACACTTGAGCCTAGAGAAAAACAAGCAAACCGACAAATGAAAGCTATTTCACTCACATTGTCTGCAGACAGAATTGCCAGATGTGTATGAATTGCAATAAGGAATGTTATTTGTTGTTACTATCTTTTGTTTAGGGATGGGAAACGTTGTATCCCTTAGATCAGCAGCCCCCAACCTTTTGGGCACCAGGGACTGGTTCTGTGGGGAGAGGTTTTTCTGCAGACCGGATGGGGGCGTGGTTTCATATGCTGCCTGCATCCCGTGGATGGGACTTCGCTTGTTTGCTTGGCCCAGTTTCCAGCATGGTGTGGACAGGTGCTGATCGACCCCTGCCTTAGATCCTTGTCCCTGTAGGTAAACTGTTCGAGAGGAGGGGGCCATAAGAAAAAAGGCTTGTCCCCAGGCTCCTACTTGCTGAAACTATGCAGGAGGAGGCATCCATTGCATGCATATTCTGCTGGTTATTATCAGATGGGCATAGGCCACTCAGAGCAGACAGTCCTGCAAGATAGTCAGTCTGAAGCTAGATAGGGCTTTGCAGAAGATAATCAGCACCTTAAGTTGTCCCAAAGGTGCTTTTTCAAAAGGCAATTAGACTTTGTTTTTCAAACAAAGGAAAAACAAAGTCCAGTTGCCTTTTGAAAAAGCACCTTTGGGACAACTATGACTTGGATGACTGAGAACCTCCGTAGACATTTAGCATCTTAAATTGCACTTGGAAGCTGACTGGCTATCAACAGCACGTCTGCAATAATGGTGTTACATGGCTAAATCAGGCTTCACTTGTTAACACTGTGCAGCTGGATTTTGAATCAGCTGTAGCTCCCAGTTGGCTCTCAAGGGCAGCCCCATATAGAGCGAATTACATTAGTCTTGTTATGAAGTGACAAGAGCATGAATTACCTCAGTAAAACCTCTTTTTCCATGAAAGGCCGCAACTAATGTACCAGCTGAAGCTGGAAATGGACTCTTCTGCCATGACTTCCACTGTTATTGCAGCAGGAGTCTTGAGTGCAGGAGAACTCCAGGTTGCAAATTTGCTCTCCACAGGGGAGTACAGCTTTGCCTAAAATCAATTGGATTTTCTTTTTCTGGAATCGGAAGACTTTAATTCAACAGCCATTCCATTTTCTTGGGATTAAGCCTAAGCCTATTTCTTCCCTTCCAGGTTTTAACAGTTTACAGGCACTAGATCAGACCTTCTTAGGATTACATGTTTTGTCCAAGGTGTAAATATGCAACTGGATTATCGCCAGCATATTAATAATGCTTCACCCATGCCAGTGGAGGACCTCCCATAGGAACTTTGGTTAGACATTAAATAATAAGAGGGGCTGAGCGCCCCACTTGCTCTAGAAGGAAGAGAACCGTTACAACTCAGTGCTGTCCACTCCTAACCCTTGCAGGTAATCTAGAAGAGTATCTTGATTAATGAGAATGAAGGCTGTCAAGAGGTTTAACAGAACCAGAAACTTTGTCCTCTTCCCATCTGTTAAGTCTGGAGATGAAAGGCGAAGGAGGCAATTCATGTTACAGAACAGATCTTTATTCTCTCTCTATTACAGCTAACAACCAACAAGAGCAGAGGCACGCAGGCCTCTTTTTATACCCCCGGATCCCCGGGCAATCCCAACCAATAGCAGGCAGTCTTTTCCCGCCTCGCGCATGCGCGCAAGGCCGGCACCACTCAGTCTGGTCCCGGGCAGCTTTTGCAATGCCCGGGACTCTTGCATCGTCCCGAGCCTGCTTCTGCAGGCTCAGGACACAACACCATCCAAGTGCTATCCCAGGCCATCTACAAGAACGACCAATGCAATTTCAATCCCACAACCAAGTCTGAATCCAGATTGGAAAAAGAATCAGATTGGACGTGTTAATGAATCCATCAATAAGAAAGGAAAAATATTTAAGGTGTGGAACTTTAGGAGGAAAAAAGTGAAATGGAGGGCATTAAACAAAAGTGAATGTACTTATCTAATTCCTTTCAAAATGAGAGTAAGTATCCTGGGAAGTGTGCTGTAGGATTTAAAGAAGTCATTTTCCTGCAGTATACAGCAATATTAACATAAAAAAGGAGGGAGGGAGGAGGACAGCGAGTGAGCAGGAAAGTAGAAGGAAAAGAACATGAGCTCTTTTTCCCTTGTGACCATCCAGAAAGTGTCCTCCACCAAGAAATTCTTTATGAAAAATTAGGAAAGGGACAGTAACTAACTCAACAGTCATGTTTTAGTTTGGCTTCTCTTATATAAGCATTGCTGACCATAAAGCATCCACTAAAGCATTATATTAAAAGAATGTTCTATTCCAAGCAATACAATGACAAAACAAGAGCTGTGTTCCGTCTTCAAAATTTATTGTCATTCAAATTGCCAGATTTATTTATTTTTTTCAAATGAATCTTGATTCTCAATTGCAAGTATTTTGCTGGCAAACACCTGGGAATTTCTAGAGCACAGGATTTGATATGTATGTTTGTGGGTATATCTTAGTGACATAGGAAGTAATCTATGTCCGTCAGGCATAATCAGTCTTCTCTACTAATATTCTGGGAAATATTTCTAACAAATGAAGAAAAAACTGTTTACCCTTCATACTTCATAAACTGTGAAAATTACACTGCAATGTTGACTCTTTTTTTCCCCTTCAAGGCACTTTAAAAGTAACACCAGCTTCACTGACACTTCCCCTCCAAATCCCCATGGAGGACAATACGTTTATCGGGATCATTTAACATATAAAAGAATATGCAATGGGGGCAGGGTTTTACAAGACATGGATATGCAGCTGGGTACCATACATCATTTGTGCTGCTTTAGAAAACAGAAATTGCATTTTTTTTAAAATTGTCTGAAGAAGATAACTTGCCATGTGTGTATATGTGTGGTTGTGCGCACCTTCGAATCAGTTTTTAAATCTTGGTGACTGCCTTGACTAGTCCCTGCAGTTTTCTTGGCAAAGTTTTTCAGAAGTGTTTTGTCATTGCCTCCTTCCTAGGGCTGAGAGAAAGTGACTGGCCCATGGTCACCAAGCTAGCTTTGTGCCCAAGGTGGGACTAGAACTCACCATCTCCCAGTGTCTAACCTGATGCCTTGGCCCAGAGGTGGACAACGATGGCCCCTTTATGACTTGTGGACTTCAACTCCCAGAATTCCTGAGCCAGCATGACTGGCTCAAGAATTCTGGGAATTGAAGTCCATAAGTCACAAAAGGACCTTCATTCCCCACCCATGCCTTAGTCGGTACACCAAACTGGCTCTCACCTATCCCTTTGCAGACTGATTGTTACTGAAGCCTGATTTATTACTAATTTTTGAAATGTAGAGAATGAGAGAAAGTGGTGACTGCCTGGACTAGTCCCTGCAGTTTTCTTGGCAAGGTTTCTTAGTGGTCTGCCATTGCCTCCTTCCTAGGGCTGAGAGAAAGTGACTGGCCCCAAGGTCACCCAGCTGGCTTTGTGCCTAAGGCTGGAGTAGAACTCACAGTTTCCAGGTTTCTAGCTTGATGCCTTAACTGCTGACTAAACTAGCTCTCACTAGTGCTGCTCCTGGAATATATTTTACCTCAGCTTTCCCCTGCCTGGTTGAACATATTCAGAGCAAACCTGACAGCATGAACGTTCAGCCTTTCAACAGAAATCAGAAAGGAAAGGAATGTATTTAATTTAGCTCCAGTATGTTGCTGGAGGTAGGGGAATGGGGAAGGACCTTTAATATTTTTGTCTCTCCATTTCCACAAAGCTTGTTTTTTGTGTTTCACTCACTTTGCCTCATTATAATCCCAGCAGGATCAAAAATGTCTCAAGGAAAGATCACCTCCTCACTAATTATTCACTAATGTCACTTGCTAGCTAGGGGCTCATTTGACTTCAGTGATGGAGCTGCCCTTTTTCCAGATGGAATCAGTGGGGGGTGGGAGTGCCCAAGCAGCCTGCAAAATACCTGAAACAAAGCAACTTGGCAAGCACAACTGGGCTGAAAAGGGACCTGGGAGTTCCTGCTTTCACTGCCCTTGGAGAAGAATCATTTTTCCCAAGCCAATTTTTTTTATAGTGGGTTAACATAGACATTGGTGGCCCTCCAGATGTTGTTCGACAACTGGCTCTTCTCCACCTGTACAGATGTGCAGTGCACAACCCATCTTGAAGTTGTTACAGCATTTCCCTATTGTCCCAGTGAAATTTGTCAGCAAAGAGGGCTATTTTTACTTCACAAAAAAGGAGAACAGAAATAAATGTGATAAGGAAAATGGTTACATCTTTCTTTCTTTCTTTCTTTCTTTTTCTTTCTTTTTCTTTCTTTTTTCTCTTTCTTTCTTTCTTCTTTCTTTCTTTCTCTTTCCTTCCTTCTTTCCTTTCCTTTCCTTTCCTTTCCTTTCTTCCTCCCTCCCCTTTTTCTCTCTCACTCCTATCCCACAACATCATGAGCTAATTCTGCAGGCTAATTCTGCTCATTGCCAGGAGTTTGATCTTGAATGGCTCAAAGTTAACTCAGCCTTCCATCCTTCCAAGGTCCGTAAAATAAGGACCCTAACTGTTGAGGGCAATATGCTGACTCTAAACCGCTTAGAGAGGGCTGTAAAGCACTATGAAACGGTATATAAGTCTAAGTGATATTGCTATTGCTAAGTGCTATCTCTGTGTCAGGAAACAGGGTTTCTTCTTCAGATGGTCTTCTCCAGGTGGTCTTTGGAAGCCTTCACAAATCAGAAAAGTGTTGTTTCCAAAATAAACACAATTGCCTGATTCTGCTTTAGAGTAATTGCAATTGAGGCATCCAGTTGATTTAGAAACAAAAACAAGAAAGATAAATACAACAGTGCATGGCCCTTAGTTCCATTGCCTTTGAAACTTTTTAAAGCAAAACCACCTTTAAAGCTCAGCATTAGATGTTTTGCATGCTGTCTTGGCTTCAGGATAACTTTTTCACAGGGGAAGGATGACTTCCTAGACAGTGAGCAACGTGCCCACAATTGCTGTCTCTGTCCCATCTGGTGACTCAATGACATCATCTAAAGGAGCAGCAGGTGCTTTTTCTACACACAAAACACTTGATGGTGGCAGCAGAGAAAATGGGGAAAAAAACTGTTCCTGCTCCAACATACCTTCCATCTCCAAAAATGTACTTCTTTTTTCCTTCTGTTTAATTGAGTCCAATTCTCAACACAAAACCTTGACAAATCCCTGTAGTTTCCTTGGCAAAGTTTTTCAGAAGTGGTTTGCCATTGCCATATTTCTAGGGCTGAGAGAAAGTGACTGGCCCATGGTCACCCAGCTGGCTTTGTGTCCAAGGTGGGACTAGAACTCACCATCTTCCAGTTTCTAGCCTGATGCCTTAGCCAATACATCAAACAGGCTCTCGCCTATCCCTTTACAAAGGAGTGATTGTTACTGAAGCCTGATTTACTACTTAGTTTTGAAATATATTCAGTGAAACTTCTCATATTACAAAATATGAGTTGGAAATGTGTTCTTCACAACAGTTTATTATAATTCTATGTGTGTATATGTATATACACACAGTGTAAAATGTGTGCATGGTGTATGTTTTATTAAGCAAGGTGATTTTCTCTGGAATCAGAATTGAAAGGGATATCAGAAGTTATCAAGTCCAATGCTAGATCTGCTAAAGCATTTTGGACAAAAGGTGATCCAGCCTCTGTTAGAAGGCTTCTGCTGGAGGGGAATAGATCACAAGACAGCTAATTCAATTGGTTCACAGCACTTCTGGTGCAAAAATAGGCCTAATCTAAATCTACTTTTCTATTGTTTCAACACAGCAGTTCTGGTCCTGACCTTCTTCCTCAACATGACATCCCTTTAGATATCTGAAGACTACAGTACTGTTGTATCTCCCCTCAGTCTTTTTTTCTGCAGCTAAATAGACCCAGTTCCTTTTTTAACAAACTCACAGGAGTTAGTTTCTTCCAGTCTGTAATTTTCTTTTTTAGACTGCAGTGCCCAGAACTGGACACAGTACATTCTTTCTAACAAAGTCTGACCAAGCTAAGAGGGGGGTTGGTTAGTTACTTCTTGTGATCTGGACTATATTAATACATCTCTATATAGCACACG